GCGAGGCGAGGTGGGAAACCAACACTGTCTCTGGTTCACTCAGAGCGAATACTCTATCTCGCGAAAACATGCCCATCCGGCCATGCATTCTGGATTGCCAAGTGTCTTCGATACACAAACCATTCGATTCACAATGGCCGAGACGATCATGTTAGCAACACACTCTCAATTTAGAACAAAAAGTCAGTGAAATGTTTCAATGGGCCAATCATCAGGTGATCGGCCAAATCCGAGAGGATAAATTAGATGCGGCACTCAAACTAAGCATACAGGAAATATAATAAATAGCGAAGCGTACCAGGGTAACCGGTGCGATCATGCATTTTGCGCAGTTCTGTTCAGCGGATGTTTGCTTACTAAAAATATAATTGTTTTACACTTTCGTATGTGGAAAAATAGTAGTTATGCTGGCTTCCCACTGAAAATTTTACGTGCCGCCACGTGAAAGCTGAATTTGAAAACATGGACGGGAAACATCCTTCCAAATTCCAACCTTCTAGTTTTCCGGCTTTCGAGCTAGTGACTTTCACATCAAAATTCTCAGTTGTTCTTACGTATGACCTCTGCATAATTGAGGGCTTATTTCAAGTTTGTGAGATAACTGTAACGGCAGAAAATACCATCCTGAAATTTCAGCTTCCTAACTTTCATGATTCCCGAGATGATTTTCCACCGAAACTTTCACGGGGCCGTACGCGATACTCAAGGGCACGGGTAAAATGAATTTAAATTTTCTGGGTTGCACGTGATCAAGGGGCATACCAATAAAATTTCAGCTCCCTAGCCTTCGTGGTTCCTGAGATAATGATTTTACCAGCCAAAACTTTTATGAGGCCGCATGTGTTATCCGCAGGCACGGGAAGGTTGAATTTAAGTTCTCTGAGTCGCATCTGGGCAGAGGACATATCCGCATAACTTTAGTTTCCCAGCTTTCGTAGTTCCCGACATAATAATTCTCCCCTTCAAAACTTTTACGGGGCCGTACGTGTTACCCGCGGGTACGGGAAGATTTAATTTAAATTTGCCGCGTCACGCACTGGCGAGGATCATTATACTAAAATTTCAGTCGCCTAGCTTTTGTGGTTCCCCAGTTGAAAGTGCAGGACAAAATATGGGACACACACAAACACACAGACAAGCCCGTGACAATATGCGTTTTGTACTGCTGTTACACAGCACAAAACGCATAAAAATGATAGTTCCCCCTTTCCCGCTATACCTTAGCTGAACCATGTTTCTGGCGAAATTAAAAACCATCCAC